CGAATATATATATATATATATATATATATATATATATATATATATATATAGGTACCAAAGTATACAACCATACAAAGTACCAACCATTTCAAATCAAGAGACTTCCCACAAAGTGGTAAAAGTGTTTTGCAGCTACCCTGGCTGGATTTCTTGCAAAGCTTGGGAAAGTATTCCTTAAAATAACTGCAGTAAACAGAATTAAATATCATTTATTCATTTTATACACATACAGTGAAATTTGAACAAAAGTTCATTTTTAGTTTGGATATGTGACATTTTACTTTAGTTTTTGCCCACATCTTGTCACATTTATAAATTAAAAAACTGTTAATCTCAATGAAATCATTTAAAATCTAATTTAAATTTTAATCATTTAAATTTGAACCAAATAATTAAAAATGTACAAATTTAATAAATAAATGATTGTATATATTATAAATATAATAATTGAATGATTTTTTTAAATAAATTAATTACTAACTCTACTAAACTCAAATTAAACAATTAGAAAATTCACCACTAAAATTTAGTGACTAAATCAACCATATCATTTAACAACATAGGTTTTTTTTTAATAAAATAAAATTTTATTATATATAATTAAACAATTATAAATAAACTATTTATTTATAATTTTATATGATAATGATAGATAGATAGGGTGACGATTAGAACAATTAAAAAATATAAAAAAAGATTTGTTATTCAAATTCACAATTCACTGATAATTAACAATTCATGGAGTCACAATTTATGATGATGATAATCATTGAAAAACAAACAAATACAACAACTTTAATTTAGTTTTAAAACAAATAGAACAAAAATTATTAATTAAATGATGAAAATTAGGGGAAAAACCGACGGATTAACTTCACTTTCGTGCCATTTCGTATCCCCAGCCACCCATTTATCCAACCAGTAACTCATAACTCCTTCACCACTCATTGTTGGTGAGTAAATTGAAAGAAGAATTAAATTTTAAACTAATTAAAACTAAATCTAGATTCTAATTGCAGAGACAAAATTTAGAAGTTAATTATTAGTCAAAGTTTTACTAGAATTATTAACTTAGTTTGTCGATATTAATACAACCCAGTTTCTATTTCTATGAAACTATTTTATGAACTAGGCAGAATGATCTGTATACTTAGCTATTATGTATATATATATAATATTTATGCGTATATATAATATAAATGTATATATACACACATATATATTTCAAAATTTCAACACTACTTTCAACATTGTTCAACTTTTTTAACACACACACACACACACACACACACACACACACACACACACACACACACACACACACACACACACACACACACACACACACACACACACACACACACACACACACACACACACACATATATATATATATATATATATATAGCATAGTATAATTTTTATACATCTACAAAACCGATACGCTATGATAACATCCGGAGTGTGATTAATGCAGATGGTATTGACCTGACGACGGCCTCGGAACAAGACGCAGTTAGAAAGTTTGAGGTCTGGAGTACCCAGCTCGCCGAACACGGGCTAAAGGTAAACTTTGACAAAACAAAAACTATGATCACTGGTAGTACCACTGAGCCTGTGGTCTCTGGTCATTGGCTATGTTTGGTGTGTGCCGCCGGAGTTGGAAGCAACATGTGTACGTCGTGTGAAAAGGATAAACAGCCTTTGTGGCGAAGATGGCTGCTTCAAATCAATGGTTGAAGATGTGAAGAACATAATAAAAGATATATAGATAATATATCTGTAACATTGTAAGTGGTTCTGCGTATGTCAGAGCTGCAATAATGAAGACTAATAAAAAAAAACTCGATCAAATGTTTGTGATTTCAGCAGTGGTGTCACAGACGATGCTCGAGAATTACCGACTCACTGAGGAATGTGACTGGTTTCGTATGCCCGTCTGCATCAACGGGGCCCAGATGATGTTACGATTACTGGGATCAAAACTATTACTTCATTTCAGTATTTGGGAGATGTGCTGGATTGTACTGGAACAGCTGATGGCAAACAAATACAGGGTTACCATAAATATATAAAATCACTGGTGTTTTATTAGGTTATAGATATTTATTTGATGTTGTTACTTCTTCTGATTTGCGTTGCCTTTAGTTTTTAAGTATTTTTTTACTTTTTTTTGTATTATGTTATCGTTATGTCATCAACATATGAAAAAGTTAACATTACAAATGCACTCTATGAGTTAAATCAAAGAGATTTTGATTTGATTTGGCGATAGTCTAATTTTTTACACCTTATTTAATTATATATATTGATGTTTAAATGAATTTTTTTCGTATGTTCATCAAAATTTTCATTAATTTTATGATTATTTGGTCGTTTAACAATAAACGAATGAGGAATCATAGCTCTGAATTAAGAAATTTATTTGAAAAATGAATTTTAAGAAAATAACTGAAAAATATTTAGATGATAAATAATGTTATTGTTTCATTAAATCAAAAAATATCTATAAAAATTTAATTATTTTTGAATTATATATCTAACTTCTGAAAACAAATACAAAAAATAATTCATGATATGAAACGAAGAATAAGTTTTACGTAAAAAAAAATCTCATCATAAAATCGCAAAAACAAGTGCTTGACTCGATAAAGTAATTTCTCAGACTCTTTAACCCAAATAGACACCCTTCTTACCTCATACCGACAGAATACCGATTAATCGAGCGATTCCTTATTGAACATGTATTCACCGAGACCCGGTCCAACTCTCTTAAGATTCGTGATGTGGCAGGACATTTGGTAGAGTAGTTCGACTTGTTTCTCGCAGCATTCATCTTCCAAGTAGTGAGTCAACTTTATGGGATTTTCGTGAAAATATTAGAACTAGTTTAATAAATAAATTATTATGTAATATTAAATTAAATAAAATATTATTATTATTATTATTAAATGATAAATTAATTATTAGATAAATTTATTCCATGTTATTGAAATTCTACAATAAATTGATTGGAAATATTTAAAGGTCAGGACAAAGCATTGTTATGTCCGTATGTATTCCAATAAAATAAGTTGCGATGAAATCGTCTTGATGTATGAGTGTACGTAAAAATCATTTTCCAAGATATCTATAAATTTTGAATTTGTATCAAGTAGAAAAGAGCCTAAAGCAGGAGTAACTACGGAATCTGATTTATGCGGCCTGTAAGGCTTTGTTCGCTAAGAAAAAGGTCGTCAGCCAGACATTATGTACAAAAAAAGGAGCCACAACAAGTCTTAAAAAAATTCTCCCCCAGGTCGAAAAAATTTGCTATTTTAGTACATATGCGGCCCTTCAAAGGTAAAATAGTTCTTGAAGCGGCCCTCACAGCAAAAATTTTCCCTTCCCTGGCCTAAAGAATTGTAAAATTTGATGAAGCGAGAAAAATAATTTGTAAAGAAAAAAAATAATTTTGAAAACTTACATGTGGGTCAGAAAATTTGGAAGCCACCTTGTGAATGTCCAACAAACTTTGGTTCACTGACTTCTCTAGTTGAAGGGCTGCCTCGAATGCTTGCAGTCCCGTTCCCCAGTTATCCTCTGAAGGTTTCTGTTGGAAAAAAAGTTTTAGTTGAAGTATTTTTTTTGTAAAACCAATCGTAAAAATTACAATTCATCTTAGTGAGAACAGTTGTCAGATGAATGTTTCAAATTGCGAAAAGTCAAAACTATATTAAAGTAATGACAGCTTTTTAGTTAGTGCCAATGTGGAACACAAATTAGTTTACCTGAATATCTTGAAGATGCACAAACCCACCCCTCTTAGTGATGTACTTCATAATTCTTTCAGAATGCTCCTTCTTATCCTCGGATCTCTTGTGGAAATATTCTTGAAATCCTTTCAGTGCAATGTCATCCCTGTGGAAGTAGGTGGCCTAGGTTCGGGTTGGGTTAGAGTAAAGAAGTTTCAAAAATTCTTATTTCTATTATATTTATAAATAGGATTGTTAATTATGCGAGCTATGCTTAAAACATCCAAGAAATGGGTTGAGTCAAAATTTTGTGCCTTGCTTTATATGGGAGGTTTAACATTTGAGACAAGTTTGTAAGAGGCAGAGGAGTCAAAACAAAGCAAAAAAAGTGACATCCTCTGCGAACAAACCAGGAAAAAGCGATCAATTTTTAAAATTTTCACTTTTATGAACTAAACAACACACCATAGACTGGTAGATGTAACTGGCGTGCAGTTCCAGGCTGATCTGCTTGTTCAGCATGGCCTCACATTCCGCTGCGAAGTTCTGACGAATTCTTGATTCAGACATTTTCGCTAACTTTCTGTCGCTTTTAATACAATAAGTTGAAATTTTTTTAATGAGAATAATCGTCAATATCAACAAATGTTTGTCACATAACCGATAAAATAAATCAATAAGTTTTAAGTCTTGAAGAAAACTATTACTTATTTTACTAGGATTAGTTAAGATTTCTGTCAGATGTATCGCATCAACTGTACTTTAGATTGAGAACTTTTGGAAATTTAAAATTCTACGCAGGTTTATGATACAATAATACACGCTATAAATTCACTAAAAAATGAACAAACTTCAAGTTTATTGATAGCTTAAAATTCGTTATTTACAAAATTAGAGAGTTGAATTTTTTTATAGCTTCAAATTCAAGCTATTTAAAAAAGTTAAACAAATCTAACCTTTTGAAATTGCTAGTTTATAAAATTAATTTTCACAAACTATGTTTGACATGTGCAATACATAAAAGGTTAGGATTGTCAGAACTTTATATACTCTTTTAAAGTCTTTATACATTGCCATGCAATGTAACTGAAATTATACACCCTGTTGAATCTATGTTTAAAATCGAAATCTGCTTTTAATTAAACGTTCAAATTTTCAAAATCCTGATTCCATAATCTTTGGCATCAAACTTGCTACACGCGTGTCATGTAGAACACTTTGGGATGGCAAAAAATACAGGGTTACCATAAATATATATAGTCACTTGTTGGCTGTTTGTTGTTATTAAACACTGTTTATATGAGTAGTATACTTTGCACTAAATAACCATGATGGTAATATTGAAAGAAATGAAATATGTGTAGTTGCTTTATTTTATAATGTTAAATACGAAACAGGTCGATAAATTTTAAACGCAAATTTTTAAAACAGAAAAAGGCATTTGAAAAGAAGTTCACTGCCCAAAAATTTGCAACAACACACACATACACAAAAACAAAAGAACACATACACCCAAACACATACTCACACTCAACCGCCCAAATATAATCATGTTTGAATCACACTCAACCACCCAAATATAATCAATCATGTTTGAATCAGTCAGTGTTCGAGTATGATTTGTAACCTGTAGAATGGCATAAATTATATTTGTATGTGGTGTTGTGTATACACGATCCGAACTTTATTATTATTCAACAAAGATTATTCTAAGCTCGCAGTTTTAGGATGTCTTTGAGAAATAGGCTAAAAAAGCTATGCTGCTTGTTTATTATGATTAAGATCTAAACTCCTATTTGAAATGACTTTGTAAAAATTTACTTTTTCGTCAAGATTTCACAGATTTTTCATTCAATATAAATAAGATGATGTATGCAGTTTGAAATCCTATAATATCAATCATAGTCGGTGGTGAAGAATTATTATTTCTATTTGGAATTTATTCCAAGTTTAACTCTTGGTTGGCTTAATCCAGCACAGCATATGTGTATGCTGAATAATCCATATTCGTGTTACATCCGATCAACATTTTAAAAATTTTTTAAATCATCAAATAATTCAATTACAAATTTGGCTTCATGAGTTAATTTTCATTTATTAATGCTTATCTCATGATGTGACAATGTTTTCAACTTACATAGCTGGTTCGTCACACATTTTAGCATGGAATTTGAAAAGGTTTGAGAATTTTACACTTTGAGATTTGATTTTTAACAAAATTTTTGTGACAACATAACGAAGATTGGGAGATTGGGTTGGATAAATATAGAAAAATAGCAATCTCAAGTTAAAAAATTGTTAACTTTCAACTCTTTCAATGTAGGTAGTAATAATTATAATACCACAGTCAAAGTTGAAAAGTGGAGAATGATTTGTTTCGTTGAATGCTTACCGGTTTTTTCCAGTTTCAAAAATATTTGTGCACGTCTGTCCAAACTTTGTCTGGAAAATAAACCAGTTTTAGAAAAAGATACGACAATGGTAGGAATGAATTTGCCTAAATATAGATTGAAATGACGAGATGAACATTTGTATAGGTAACCTGGAATAAACTCTCAGGGATTTTCATTAATCAAATGTGTTTATAACTCCAGAAGGCAATCAAAATACGAACTAATCATCTTCGATAGTTTTCTTAATTTTACTGGTTACCAGAAAAAGTTTACCAGAAGGCAATCAAAATACGAACTAATCATCTTCGATAGTTTTCTTAATTTTACTGGTTAACTTAACATTCCGAATTGAATCGTCATTAGAATTTTTTTAAAAGAGAATTTTAAAAAAATATTTTTTTTGTTTGTGATCCAAAGTTGTTATACTAAATATCTTTACTGGTTATTTATTAAATGATTATTACAACATAGATGGATCTAATATTCTAATGCCCTCTTTAAATCACTGGCAATATTACGACAAAATCTAAAGAGAACAAGACTCTTGGCACACAATAGCATCAAAACAGTAAATACCATGCCGTTAAAAGCAAAAAAGTTACGAATGTGAAGGTACACGGAGATTATTAACTTTCTTAACTTAACTTTCTTAATTGAGATCTTAGCTCGATCACAGCCATCCCGCCTTCTCAATAATTTATTGTTCATTCTTTTTTTGAGAAGCAAATAAAATTTAAATAAAAATTAAAATTAAAAAAAATTAGCTTTCTTAATACTTTCGTAGCTTGAAATAGAATACTTCTTAATAATTTCTTAGCTCGAAATAGAATATTAAGTTAATTTTTTTAGAAAAAACTGTTTTTGAAGTTTAGATTTAACTTTTCGACTTTAATTAAAATCATTAATTCAGATCTGCTAATATGTGAAACCATTATCTTTGAGACTCTAGCAGAAGAACTCACCGGATTTTGCAGCCATTAAAAAGGCTTTGTTACTCATGACGTTATTTCTTATTCAATATTATTTTCGAATTTTAAAAAATGACGCCAACACTTGCTTGTATTTTTTCAAAACTCTGTATTACGAATGAATCAAAATCAGTAAAAACCGTAAAAAATTTAAATGAAAAGAAAAATGAAACATTTACAAAAATCTCTCTACAAAAGACAGTCATATTATACAGTAGTGAAAGTTTGGAGGTTAATATTGAAAAAAAATGTTATAGTTAAATTTCATAATATACGGTTATGCGTGTGCACAGTAAAGAGTGCATAGTTCACAGTACGAATGATCAATCCAGTGATTTCTTATCGAACATGTATTCTCCGAGACCAGGCCCAACTCTCTTCAGGTTGGTGATGTGGCAACTCATCTCGTAGATGGATTCCACTTGTTCCTTCAGCAGGTCATCTTCCAACCAGTTGGTCAGCTGCATGCGGTTGAAATAAATGGTTATGCGAATTTCTATGAATTTAATGATTATCTCTTAACGATAGCCACAAAATGAATGGTATGAAATAGTAAAAATTGAAATATAGATTTATTAAATATAGTTAGTAATGTTTAAACTAATTGTGAAAGCTGAAAATAACAAACATTTGCAAGTTTGTAAGAGCTGTACAATTTTAATTGTAACTTAGTGAATAAAACTGCTTAATAATGGACACTTTTTTGATAAATTTAAAAACAAAGTCAATCCTTTTTATTAACCCCTACTTACGTGTGGATCGGTGAAGTTGGAGGCCACCTTGTGGATGTCCAACAAACTCTGGTTCACCGACTTCTCGAGTTGAAGCGCTGCCTCGAACGCTTGCAGACCCGTTCCCCAGTTCTCCTGCGGTGGTTTCTGGAAAGCAATGAAGATCGCATCATAAAAATGATTGTTATTGAGGTGTCAAAAAAATTTTAATAGATATATTTTTTAGAAGTTTCAAAAATTAAAAAATTATTACTTCGAAAAGTGAAATAAAAATTTGTCTCCACCGACCTCAACATTCTGCAAAACGACATTTCCTCCCCTCTTGTTGATGTACTTCATAATTTTTTCTGCGTGCTCCTTCTCCTCACTGGACATCTTCTTGAAGTACTCGTGGAAGTTCTTCAGGGCGACATCATCTCTGTGGAACCAGGTGGCCTGCGAAAGAGGAATTTTAAAATATTTTGCGAACAACTTCTAAAAAACGAGTTTCTTTCTTCAGAATATTGATGGCATGTCATATATTGGTGAAAATAAATTACAGAAAATTTTCAACTATGTCTGAGAGTGCGTGAAACGATTTTTTAATGCATTCAAACGCGCGTCTTAACACTTCGCGAAACTTCAATAGAGTATAATTCAATGAACATCGAAAAATCTACGTTTCACATGAACTAATTGTAGTCTGAAATGAAAGTAAAATTAACGAATTTGATAAACTCGAACAAACCATGGACTGATAGACATAGCTGGCATGGAGTTCCATGTTGACCTGCTTGTTCAGCATGGCCTCACATTCCGCTGCGAAGTTCTGACGAATTCTCGATTGAGACATACTTGACGGTTTGGTTTGAAGTTTTCTTCAAAATCTGCTAAATGAAAGTGTTTACAACATTATTTTCATGGATTTTAGAACTTCCGGAAAATCAAATTGAACTCAGTGAATAATTAGTTTATAATAGACAATTTAATTGGCAAATAAACTAACCAAATAATAATTAAAACAGATAAATCGAATAAATTTAAAAATATTTTAAACTCTAAAAACCTTAGATGAATTTGCGTATACAGAACAGCGATCAACACTATTTATACTATTCAAACTCCAAGTAGGATTTAACACTCCAACTCAAATTTCATTTGTTCAGCTTAGGACTTAGAATGAAATCCACATTTAGAGTCACAACTCCAAATTCTACGATCTTAATAAAAAGAACAACAAAAATAATAATAAGAAGAAGAACAACAACAGCAATAATAACAATAACAACACTAACTTTATATATATTGTGTACATAGACACATATAAATATATGTACGTAATGACGCTATTTAACCATCAATCACTATTTTATTACTCATTCAAATGTAAACAAACATCATAAATATTGTCTACTGAGTGTTCGACTTAACACAACTGTCTGTGTCCGTGTTTTTTGCAAACAACTGATTTCCTTGTGTGTATATGAGGTTTTTACATTATGATCTTAACATCTATTGATTGACTTCCACACACACATACACACATACACCACGCACACATACACACACATACACACACGTCGAAACAGACCATACACCACACATACACACTCACACAGACATACATGCTAAAACACGCCACACAAACATACACAGACACCCCACACACACATACACTCAAAGTATGTTTATTTATAACTGATCTATCGGCCGATGTGAACACAAAATTTCATCATTATAAAATCTCGCTTGGCCGAGTACTTCTCAAATGATTGACAGATAAAAAAAAATATTTTTACCGATATATTGATTGAACGTGGCTACGAAAACAAAGACCAATAAATTCGAATTTAATATAAAACTGGAGTAATTGAATTGCAATTAAATCGAATTTAATACGTGGCTGGTGAAAATGGTTCAGATGTCTGGTCATTCTGTCCCGGTTAACTCAAAGCGATGCCATCTGTGTAATGTAATGTGTGGGATTTTGGCTCATTCAAGTGCATGTGCGAGGAAACTTTTAAATTTAAGACTGACTGTGATCTCATCTGTTGGTTAAATAACACATACACACGCTCGCACACGCACACGCAAACACACGCACACACACATCCAGAAATATATTTATAAAATATTTAAAATATAGCATTATATTAAGGTTATATAATGTAATAATATGGAGAAAACAATTTAAAACATTATGCTCAGTTTGTTAGGTGTATTCTTTACATTCAGCATTTCTGCCAACACTCAAGCATACAAACAAACAAACATACATACATCCAAACAAACGAACATACATACATACATACATACATACAAACAAACAAACAAACATTCTAATAAACAACTCAAACAAGACATTGATCGGATATTGTATTTATACATATCTACACAACCACAATATTTTTTCGCGATTCTAAAATATGAATTACTGTTGTAACATAAATAATATAACAATAATATATATATATATATATATATATATATATATATATATATATATGTAATATAAATTATTAATACAATAATAAAATGCACCTGATAAGATAATATAACATTGAAAACAAACATACACAAACATACACGAACATACACAAACATACACACACGAACGATCACATGATAATGATGACAACCACAAACAACACGACAGCAACGGCGATATGAAGTTGATTCATTCAAAATCATTCTTCAATACAAGATTGTGGATTCAATTGTTGGACGAATCTTTGAGAAGATTTCAGTCATTTGACTACTCTCTCTCCCTCTCCCCCCCCCCCCCCTCTCTTTCTGTGTTTGCTTATACTTGTGTGTGTATATAGATGTGCTTGCTTATACTTGTTTTGCTTATACTTATACTTTTGCTTATATATGTATATTGGTGTATGTGCTTGCGTGTACGCGTATTCTTGTCTGTATGTGTTATTTGTGTTTTTGTGTATATACATATCAGGGATGTCTCGATATTTTTCTTAGTATATCGATACTTCTATACTACATACACACGTTAATCGGCTTCTAGGTGTGTTTGTTTGAATTGTGTTGGCCTGTGTATGAAATAGTCTGCGTGTGTGTTGTGTGTGTGCGTGCGTGCGTGTGTGTTTGTGTGTGTGTGTTTGTCTGTGTATGAAGTATGTATTATGTGTGCAGTGACGGATCCGAAATTCCGAATCCCGTTCAATTTAGAGAATAAATGAATTATAAAGTTAAGTATTCGATATTTTTACGGAGAATTCCCAATAATTTTTCCTTCATGGTCTGGTTGGACGTCCATCTCCCACCACCCGCGATATGTCGTCCCCACCTCAGTGGGGTGAACCTGAGAGTTTTGTGTATGTAGGCATAAATGTACACATTTGCATGAAATGATCTGTTTGTCAGCTTATTCACCACTTAACTTATTCATATTTTTAAACTTCATAAATTAAACTGGCGTACTAATAAAAAATTCAAAAATTTCATAAAAAAACACCTCGAACTGTTATTAATAGTCAGTATATACGTTTCAACGTTCCAAGGTTCCGTATCGAAATAATTCCCATAAGAGTCAAAGTTTATAGTCTTTTTAGGCAATACTGAATTTTCAGAAAAGCAGATGGCGATAGCGTAACGGGTAGGGCAGCTGGTCCTGGTAGGACATTACGTTGGTTCGAATGCACACGTTCGTCAGTGATGTCTGTGTGATACGTGGATTTATCTGTACCTTTCTATGTCAGATGGTTGTGTGTGTTGTTTGTTGTGTGTTGTTGAATAACTCTGTAAATTCTTTTAGAGGTTATTAATATTTACAATAATTATAAAATAATAAAAAAAATAATAATGCATCATTTTATAAGATTTTATTAAAAAAATTAAGTTTTTTTTTAATTTTTCATTGATTAAATACTTTTAAATAGGTTTTAATCGATTCGTTGTTTAATACTCATTTATTCTTTCATTCATTCATTCGTTTGTTCCGATTGATAAGTATTTAAAACTTCATACATCAAAATTTTCAATCCGAATCGTTGTTTTGAATGCAGAACTCATTCTCCAAATCCATCTGGTACAAATCATTCGTATAGGTACTTTAGAATTAGTACAGGCAGCAAAACACGATTCCATCATAATGAACGTGTGGCGAGAAGGAGTCACATTTGAACTTTGAACCCACAACAAATCCACATCATCTTGATGACTCCTAATTACTAAAAATAGCAACGTACTGGATTGTTTAGTGAAGTTAGTGCAAGGATTCAGAGCGAACATGCTCGTTGTTGATGGATTTTAGTGAGAGGCAGATGTGTGGATTTGAAATGTTAAAAGTTTCGAAAGTTATTTTTAGTTATTAGGTACTCGTTTAATTGGCAGATGAATTTTCTCCAACAGTTATTATTTATTCATTTATGTATTTTGACGGGATAAAATGATTAATTGGGTAATAAATTTGTCAAAATCTTTTGACATGGCGTAACGGAAATTAATCTTAAGTTTTGACACAATTTTTAAAACGTTGTTGGCGAATATCAAGTACGTTAAAATGAAATCACTTGTAGATATGAGGTTTTTAACCAATACAACGATCGAAAAAACGAAAAGTATGATAGAATTAATCAAATATGCTTGCTATTTTTGTTTGATCTTAACTGATTTCAAGTCCAACTCATTCTTTTTCACGGAGGAATTTTTTTTCTTCAATTGAAAATATTTTTTGCAGACGTCAGGAATCCTTTTCAAAAGTTTACAAACAGTCTATGTTTATAAACAAACCATGATTTTATTAATTAATCTACAACGTTTCAGCCGCATTTCATTTTCAACATTTATTTTTTCTTTTTACATCTCCTCAACTTCGCCTTCAACCGAGAAGGACGTTGGGGTCTTGCCCTTACAAGGTGCTACATATTGGGGTACGGTGAACAGAACAAAATCCGGTCGAAATTGTCTCAAGTGGAAATTATTCGCCACTAAAATGACTCTGACTGCCAATTTGTTTCCCGACAGAACTTTAGAAGAAGCAAAGAATTTTTGTAGAAATCCAGGAATGTATGAGGTTGAACCGTGGTGTTATGTCAGTGTTAAGCCGATGGTTAAAGAGATGTGTACTGTTTACGATAGCGAGTTTAAATCCTGCAGTTTGCCTAGCAGAGGAATCTATTATAAAGGAAATCAGTCAACAACAATGCGGGGCAAAATGTGTATCGCACCTACGATTAATCGAGGAGAAGGGAACAAAAGAACAACATCTACTCTAAAAAGTAACTCTACCACAAACGTCGAACATTCATATCTCTCATCAAATTGTCGAAATGACAAATGGACGCTGAAATCTGGACCTTGGTGTTTCACTGATGGCAGGCAACACGCTTGGCAATATTGCGATGTCTGCAGCGACAAACCTGCGGTAAAACTTCATATGCCATACATTAGTGAAAACCTCGCTGCTTATAAATCCAATACTAGTGACATACTACTAGGTAATAAGGGTGGATATGAAAGGAGTTCAACAAGTATACAGTTAAATCGTGATCATATTCTAGCATGGAGTTCTCGAATGAACACCCCTAGCGAAGATACTTGCATAGAATTCTGTAATGCTCTGGCTACATGTGCGGCTTGCGTATACATGCCTATCAAGGATGATGACGTCATATCGTCTATTTATGATCTTCAGTTCGATGAGGATGAGAAACAAACTGTTTCTAAGTGCTTCTATTTTACAAATTTTCCTGATAATAATGCGAGTAAAACTAAATATCAAAACTCGGTGGACCTAATTAATTTACACGTTAAACAATGTTCAGCTGAGAGTCTAGTCAAGTTATTGAAACTTCCGAATGTGAGGTGCCGAGGGGGAAAGGTTGTCTCAAACACGTCAAATTATATCCGATGTAGAAATACTTGCATACTCAGTAATAAATGTCAGGCCTTTGAATATCGTCAAGTTTTAAACGAACGAAGTGTGATTGTTAACACGTGTAAAATCCACTACGATATCCAGCGTTGCTACAAAGATGTCGGTGAAGATCGAGGATTCATTGTGGATTACGATTTAACATCGGAGAACAAAACAGATTGGATTACTCAAACAGCAGAAACAAACGATTTCAAATTATCCATAACCAGTCATCAAACAACAATCACCAAAAACGACAAGCGACATTCCAACCTATCCACACACATCCTCATAAGATGCAACCCACACACTTCAAGCAGATTCAAGAGGAAAATTGACCCTCTTGATGCCGAAGATATTGACACTTTTGACCCCAACTTCAACAAACCGGTCCCGAAAGCACGAAAATCGACAAGATTGAGGGGTGTCATGCCTCCATCCCTGACCGGGTTCATAGTTTTTGTTGTTTTGTCTCTCTGGACCATATCCGCCATTGGAACGACTCTCTATGCCGCCAAGATTCAGTTCCTAGATAAAGATCCGCTACTGAAGGAGTTGGAAGACTGAAAGAACTGCATAGAATTCATCATGGACATCGCGTTAATCACTCATAATAATGTTTTACTTACTATTTAAAATAATTTATTTAAAATAATTTATTGGCACAAGTTTGCTCTGCTTGAAAATAAATGCTACATATACAAACGTGTATGCTGTGCCTATGTAACTTTGTACAAAAAAAACAATTTTTTCCGGTTTTCATGAATTTATTATTATCATGTAAATGTACATTTCAAACGATCAATTTTATTTATTAAATATTTGACTAACATAAAAAGTGTTTTTATAGATATTTAAATTAACTAAATTATTCTGAAAAGAAACCTCTTTGAGGGCTTTTTAATGATCCAAATGAAAGAGTTCATATACAAAAACAAATATCGGCCACACAACACAAGAATAATTTGAACTAAAAATAACTTTTAAATGTTAAACAAATGGTAAAAAAAGTAAATAGGTTTCTTTGAAAACCACTAGGAATTAGTAGTGGAGCCCTTTCGAAGATTCAGCAGACCCATAACAATATCGCTAGGTAGAGATTTGATTCTGGAATATTCCTCACTCGTTGCATACCTCAGCTTGGTGTGGGGATCGGTGTAGGGTGCCTGAAATTAGGAAAGGTTTTACCGAGACAAGTGACAATTTTTACCAAAAGTTATTAAAAATTTACCAAAATTATAAATAATTTACCAAATTAATATTGGCAATCATGGAACTAGTGATAATTTGCATTAAAATAAGTTAACTATATTTTAACAACTCTTCTGCTAATAAGCTATATTAGATATATATATATATATATATATATATATATATATATATATATATATATATATATATATATATATATATAATGTTATGGAATTATTACTTAAAATTATATTTTAATTTGATAAAAAAATCTGTTGATTAAAAAAAATGATAAAAAAATTACTGGAAGTCCAGAGAGATCAGAATATTTTTTAGCTGGTAAAAATGATGGAAGTGCATCAATAGAGCTGTCTGCAAATAATATTTAGATATTTTGAATTAACTAAATAATAGCTTAAAGTTCAATTAAGTAATTTTAAGTATATTGAAATTTAATAAAAAAATATAGATAAACTCTTTTTATTTGTCTCTAATGAGTTACTCACACAGATATTCATAATCATCTTCTTTCCATTTTTCAGATTTTTCAGCTTGTATTATCTGCTTGAGATTTTTAAATGGCTTTTTGGCAGTTATGTTAGTCTGGAAAAAAATGAAAATTTATTTGAAACTTCAAAAATTTTATTTAATAAAAAACAAAGATGTAGTTTTTTTCTATTATAATTTGTAATATAATAAAAAGATGACAATAGAACCTGGGTTTTAGATAATTGAGCTCTATTTCTTATTTTAACCAAATTTTGTTGTTATTTAGTATTGCAATGTGGGTTGTGTGAATAATTTGTATGTTGTTTTTTTTTAAAAAACATAACATTACAACCATATATGAAAATTTAAATAGAAACTAACATCTTGTGGCGTTTGTTTGAATGAACAAATCTGGGGACTGGGCTCCACTTCTATTTCAATTTTGTCAACCTGGGTTTCCTAAGAAAAGAAGGTTTAATTAGAAGTATTACTTTATTGTTTTTAATTTAAATTTAATATTAATTTAAATTTAATATTTAATTAACGTCGAGACATTCATTTTATAATATGGATGGCACTAAGTAACATTATATAACATAATGCATTCAGATATATGATATATCGATAGTTGATACTTATTTGATAGATACACACATTACTAGGACTAGAGATATTATTTTTAGATTGTCATTGTGAATTAGTTTTTTTTATTATTTTATACAAATTTAATAATTAATAAATAATTAATTAAATTACATTAAAAATGAGGTAACATTAAAGATTAGCTTATTTTTATTTACTTAATTTTTTAAAATTTAAATAATTTATTTATTAAAAAAGTGAATATTAAAAAACATACAGTCATACATATCATACATACACATACAAAACATACAAGCTTATCGGCTAAAGCGGTTTTATTCGTTGATGTTTTCTTTTTCCCCATTAATTCACTAACTTTATTTTCTTTATTTAAATTAGAAATTAGAACGATTCTAGAGAATAAATAAATAAATAATTATTAAATATAAATATTAAATATAATAAATTTTACGGTTCGCTTAATATCGTTATCGCTAGCCAAAACATCCATAGAAAACAAACCGCAATTAAATACTGAGTAATACACCTAATGCAATTGAATGTAAACTACATCCAACAATCAGCTGGATGAGTCATCTTACAAAACTTCTATTGAGAATTCTGATGATGAAGGCACGAAGCAAAATCAGATCTGAAATTTCAAATGTCCAATGTGGTTTTGTAGAGGAGTGTGGGACAAGGAACGCTATCTTTATGCTACGAATGATCAGTGAACGAGCGATTGAAATGATGAAAGACTTGTTTATATGTTTTGTCCATTAGGCCTACTCCTAATCTTTTGATAGCGTTATATCCATGCGTGAAACACGGGGAGTTTATGGAAATATTGGAAAATTTAGACATTGATGGAAAAGGCACGAGTGATGAAAGTTTGTAACAAGAGGGCTAGTTTTATCGAAATAAAGAAAGGTGTCAGACAAAATTGTGTATTCTCTCCAGACCTGTACAATCTCTATAGTGAAATCATCATGAGAAAGGTAGAAGATCTACATGGAATATCCATGGAGGCGGA